AACATGCATGCACATACAAACACATATTAGGGTAGTTTTGTATTTACAGAACAGGTGTTACTGGTACTATTTTATAGCCAATGTTAAAGACATCAATTAACCCCATATGTCGCGTCCCCACGACTAAAACACTCAGGGTCACTCCAGGTGAACTGGGCTGCAYGAAATAACCACACAAGAGACAGAGATACTTTTTTCTTTGGGTCCTATGACCTTAGGGGTCTGCAGAGAGAGAGAGTGAGCTGAACCCTTTTATTGAGGAGAAGTCATTCAAATGAGGCAAGGGGTCAGGTTTCAGCGGGTGGGTCTAGCTTCCTAATGTCTTCTAAAACTTGACTGTCTCACACATTTCTTCCACTTTATTTTTTCCTTTTCTTTTGGAGACCAGGTCTCCAACTCAGGCTCAAGTGATCTTCCTACCTTGGTCTCTCCTGTTGCTGGGACTTCATGCTCACCACGACACCTGGCTCCCTATTTTTTAACCATAAAAACAAAAATTTTGTATTAGGAAATTTGAAAATAATAGTTCTAAGTACGAAAAAAATTAAATCTAATAAGTGACCAAAGACAGTCACCAGCACATCTTGGCTGCAGCCGGTGGTTCCTGGTGTGCGTCTCCCTCGTGGCGAATGATTCTGAGGTGCGCTGAGTGCTAGGCCTGGCCATGGTGTCAGGGACTCAGCCAAGGGACAGTGTAACCCACTGGGGAGGGGCCAGGCACTGCACAGCTGGTCCAGGGCCCCTGCGGGAGGCCCAGGTGCCTCCGCTGCTGACAGGGTCTTGGCYGGCTTCTCTGACCTCCAGCCAGTCCCTGGCCCCTGGGCCTCGCATCTTCATCTGGCAGGTGGGGATTATCAGGTGGTTCTAGAGGGATGGGCGCTGTGGGGACTGAAGACATCTGGGCCCACAGCAGCTGTCACTATTGGCCCTGGCAGGCAGCTCCCACCCCCCCGGCCCCCTGGGCGGCGAGCCCCCAGGACAGGAGTTCCCTGCCACGCAGCCCCACTCTGTTGTACTGAGGGGAGGACGAGGCCAGGAGGAGCGGCTTCCTATCAAGGCGGGCTGAGCAGGGTGGATATCAGCCTGGGACAGTCTCTGACACCTGTGGCACAGCGGGGAGCTGGCCTGGAAGGATCCAGGGAGAACAGTGTGATCTGGATGAGGACCCTGAGGCCCTCCCAGGTCTGAGTGAGTTAGAACATGGCCTGGGGTCAACTGGGCAGTCAGGTGTGACCCTGAACACATCACTCCCCCACCCCCTCTGTTGGCTCATCTGTGAAATGGGCCCAGGCAGGTCCTTCTGGGAATTAGCTGGAAGAGCTCAGCAAAACCCCTGTGAGTGCTGCTGTCCTCCCAACTCCTACCCTCCTCAGCCTCAGCCCCTCCTGGGTCAAAGTAACCCCGCTGCATGAGGCCTCTGCCTTGGGATCTGGGAGCCAGGACTCCATGTGTGACCCAGGCAGCCTCTGCAGATGGGGAACCTGGGGCTGGGGGAGGGCAGAGAAGCCTTCCCAGAAGGTAGGAGGAACAGGAGGCAGGAGGTGGAGCCTCCTGGCCACCTGGGAGCACAGGTCCTCCAGGAAGGAGGACACGGCTGTGGCCCGAAAATCTCTCCACGATGACTGCACCTGGAAGATTGTGATGCTGACCCTCACTTGCTCTGTCCCCAGCTCACCATGTCCAAACGACTGGTGGCCATCATCTAGAAATGATTTAAAATATACAGGATGAGCCAGGCATGGTGACACATTCCTGTAATCCCAGCGGCTCAGGATGCTGAGGCAACAGGATTGTGAGTTCAAAGCCAATCTCAGCAGCTTAGCAAGTGCTAAGCAACTCAGCCCTAATACCCTGTCTTTAAATCAAATATAAAGTAGGGTTGGGATGCACCTCAGTGGTAAAGCTCCCCTGGGTTCAATCCCTGGTGAATATAAATAAATAAAGATAGGTAGGTAGACAAATAACATGGGATGATGTGTGGAGGTTGTATGCAAAAGCTATTCTTGCCAGTTGCAGTGCCACAGCCTATAATCCCAGCAGCTCAGAGGGCTAAAGTAGGAGGATTGAAAGTTCCAGTCCAGCCTGAGCAACTTAGCGACGCCCTGTCTCAAAAAAATTAAAGCAGCTAGGGATGTGGCTCAGTGGTAAAGCACCCCTGGGTTCAATTACCAGTACCTCCCCCCAAAAATCTATTACTTCTGCAATTTTATATCTAGACCAAGGGCTGGAACCAGTCCCCCAGGGAGGGTGAGGGACTTGGTGCAAAGAGAGTCAGGTAAGAAAGTAAGACGCAGGCAGTACTGTCCCAGACCTGTGTACAGAAGTTAATATTTTTTTTTGTCTTGTTTCAAATAGGAAAGAATTGTGTTCACTGTTAGTATTGATACAAGGACACAAGGCAGGATGTGTAAGGAAGATTTAGTCATCCTCGCTTCCTCCCTCCACACTGGACAGGGCAGATACCTCTATACTTCATATACATGTAGTGTTGGCTTTTATATTTACAAAGAGCAGGACTACTTTTTCTTTCAGACTACCCTAATGCCCAGAATTTTGCGTTTCACAAAAATTTTAGCCGGTGTGGTGGCACATTCCTGTAATTCCAGCAGCTTGGGAGGCTGAGGCAAGAGGATCTCGAGTTCAAAGCCAGCCTCAGTTGCTCAGGCACTAAGCAACTCAATGAGTCCCTGTCTCTAAATAAATACAAAATAGGGCTGGGGATGTGGCTTAATGGTCAAGTGCCCCTGAGTTCAATCCCTGGTACCAAAAAGAAGAAAAACTTTGCACACCCTTCTTCAATACTCCATGTTGAGAAGAGACAGCCAGGACCAAGGCCTGACCTCACCTGGCTGTCCTCTACCCTGAGCTTCCAGACCTAGAACTTCAGGCTGCCCCCCTTGTCCTCTTGTAAGATGAGCTGGGAAGCCACATGGCCCTCTGCAGAAAAGGTAAAGTCCAGCTCTGTAAGAATACAGACAGGATAAAACGATTCAGTTTCTCTTCTGATACACACAGTGCAGAACACTCCTGTGACGCTAGATCCACGGGGGACCCCAACCCTGCACCCCAAGCAGTACTGCAGATGATTCTTCTGGAAACTTCAATAAGGAAAATGGCTACTGTTTATCACCTCGATCTTTTTTTTTTTTTTTTTTTGTAGTTGGACATAATACCTTTATTTTACTCATTTATTTTTATGTAGTGTTGAGAATCGAACCCAGGGCTTCACACGCACTAGGCGAGCGCTCTACCACTGAGCCATCAACTCAATCTTTAGTTCCTCTTCCCTCCCTGTAGATGCAAGGGTGGACCAAAAGTTCCAACTCTAAATCATGATTTGATCCCCTGGAAAACAGACCCCTCTAGCCCATCTATGGGTCCCAAGTACCAGTCATCCCATTAGCATAGAAAAGGCAGTCTTATCCCTCTGGGGAGCCCAAGGATTTGGGGAGCTATATGCCAGGAAACGTGCTGGAAGACCTAATATGGTCACAACCTCAAAAGCCCAGAGGGAAGAACCTGGCAAGCTGAGCAAGGCCAGGGGCTTTCTCCTGACTCAAAGAAGGTGGCAGGTTCACGAGGTAGGGCAGAGAGTAGGGAATTCATTCCAGTCACGGCTCAGAGTTTACTGGTCTCTTCTGTCCCAGGCCCTGTGTCTCATGGCCTGGTGGGGAAGGCAGACCAGGAAGCAGGTGCTGTGGAGGAGGTGGGACATGGGAGCAGGTAGGAGGGCATGAAACCTGGGTTGGGAGAGCGGGACAAGGGGAAGGCTGCCTAGAGGAGGTGACCCCTAAGCCATGCTGCTGAAGGCATTAGACCCTAAACCCAAGCCTTTTCTGTGAAGGGCCACATAGTAACTATGTGCCAACTTTGGATTCCAACAGTGGTTCTTAAACTTGGGTGTCTCAGCCTCACTAGAGGGAACTTTTCCGTCTGGTGTGATGGCATCCAGAGCCCATAAAGGGACTTATACTGTACATGTTCTGCCCCTTGTCGATTTCACTCAGCGGTAGATCATGGACACCTTTCCATGTCAGTACGGCCTCACTCTCTAATGGCTGCAGAGATACTCCTGCATTGGCTAGAGGCGCTGGAACTGACTTCACCCGTTCCACTCTTGGATGCTTCAGATAGCACCCTGTGGTAACCAAAGCCATGGTGATATCCCTGTATGGAAGTCTGTTCATACATGTGCCTTTCTCTAAGATAAATTCCTAGAAGTGAAACTAGTGAATCAAAGGCTATAAACATTAACAGTGTGTGGGAGGCCAACCTTACGGGTGACTGAGTTACACTCCCCAGCTGGGTGCTGAGGTGCGCAGTCACAGAAATGGGTGTGTCTTGCTACAGCCCCATGGGTGAAGCTACGCTCACCTGTTCCTTTGAAATATAACCCCTTGCCCTGTTTAGGATAGAATCTTCCATGGAAGTGCCTTGTATGTGTCCCCTTCTCTTACTGTGCCCTTGGGTGTGGCCTACCCAGGTGTCAGTCACCTGCTGACAGTGGACATCATGAAGACAGACTCAGCCCCCTGAAACCTGACCCCTGGCCTCATTTGAATAGCTTCTCCTCAATAAAAGGGGTCAGCGCGTGCTCTCGCTCTCTCTCTTTCTGCAGACCCTTAAGGTCAGAGGAGCCGTCACAGGGACCCCAAAGAAAAAGGTATTTGTGTCTCTTGTGTGGTTATTTCGTGCAGCCCAGTTAGCCCAGTTTAACTAGAGTGACCCCTGAGCCTTTTAGTCGGGAGAACAGAAACCCGGCAACAGTGTGGTATATCGACATAATGAACTTGCTGTCGGGTGAGGGAACCATTATAACCAGCTAATCAGCAAGTCTCAGCGCTACCTGGAAAATTCATTTCTTGGGCCAAGGACAGGATACTTTTCTCTCCCTCTTGCAAACTACTGACATTACAAATCTTACAAAGTGCTAATTTTGTATTCTTGCAATATTACAGCAATATTTTAATGTTGATTTTCTTCTTCTTTCTTTCCTCCAGGGCTGGGGACTGAATCCAGTCTCGCACATGCTTGGGAAGTGCTCCACCGCTGTTATATCCCCAGCCCCAATTCTTCTCGTGTGCATCTGTATTTTTTCCTTCCTTTCCTCATTTTTCATTTTGGTGTGTGTCTTCATGTTGCTGCCTTGTAAGAGTTGTTTTTGTTTGTTTTCAAGAAAAGGGATTGAATCCAGAAGTCTGCTACTGGTGAGCTACATTCCCAAATTCCCCTTTTTTTTTGAGACAGTATGTCCCCAAGTTTCTGAGTCTGACCTGGAATCAAATTTTCAAAACTCATTCCTTAGTCTCCTAAATTGCTGAAATTATAGGCACACTCTGCAATACCTGGCTTTAACAGCTTGTTGGTGTTTTCCTAAAAAAAAAGAAAAAGAAAAAAAAAAGAAAAGAAAAAATGAYTGCTAATCCCTCATATAGGCATATCTATTAATTTAGAAATTATCCATGTTCTACTTTAATCATTTTTAAAAAAATTGTTTCTCTTTCCACATTTCTTTTTTTTTAATTTCAATTTTTTTTTGTTGTAGATGGACAGCATCTATTATTTTTTTTAATGTGGTGCTGAGGATCAAACCCAGTGCCTCACACATGCTAGGCAAGTGCTCTGCCACTGAGCTACAGCCCCAGACCCTCTTTCTACATTTCAATTACATTATAGTTGGAAAGAGTTCTTTTGGTTTGGGGGTACTGGGGATTGAACTCAGGGGCATTTGGCCACTGAGCCATATTACCAGCCCTATTCTGTATTTAGAGACAGGGTCTCACTGATTTGCTTATTGTCTCGCTTTTGCTGAGGCTGGTTTGGAACGTGCGATCCTCCTGCCTCAGCTTCCCAAGCTGCTGAGATTACAGGAATGTGCCACAGTGCCCAGCTATAGTTATTAAATATCTATACCTCTTTTTCATAGGTTGCAATGATTTTTTCTTGTCTAACTTTGCTCATGGTGTCACCTGTTATATAGGACACTGTCCTTTTGAGTACTTGCACATGGATAACTGGTTTCTTGGGTTCTAGACCAGGTTTCAGTCCCTCAAACTGAGTGTTTTACACAACTCCTCAGCACACAAACATATTATCTGATCTTCTTCTGCTACATGGAGCTTCAAAAGACACAACATAAAGCTCTACCCTCTGCCTCATCTGTTTGTGACTGCAGCCAGCTCATTTCCCTTCTCTGGGAAGTGTCCCTGCTGTCCTGCAAGGTTACCCACCCCTGACAAAGATCCTGGCGGGATTCTTTGGGAAGCTGCTGGGACAGGAGTTGGACCAACTTGAGAACGTGCTGGTGACCGTGGGTGCCTACGGGGCCCTGTTCACAGCCTTCCAGGCCCTGGTGGACGAAGGAGACGAGGTGAATGATATGACTCGGGCTGGGAGTGGTGAGGGGTCAGAGCAGTGCTGACCACAGTGATCTGATCCTTGTCCCAGGTCATCATCATTGAACCTTTTTTTGACTGTTATGAGCCCATGACATTGATGGCTGGGGGTCGCCCTGTGTTTGTGTCCCTGAAGCCGGTAAGGATGCCATGTGGGGTGTGGGCCCAGGAACCCACGGACTGGGTGGGACTGGGCCCAGGGAGATGGGTCAGAAAGGACACAAGTGAAGGAGACCAGGTCCTGTGGGCTGGGAGGTGTAGTGGTCTCCAGAGCCCCAGAGAGGAGGTGGAGGGGGCAGATGCCCAA